AGCTGGCAGGAAAGTTGAGTTCTGTTTTAGTCAAGTTGAGTTTAAGGCCGGTGGGACATCTGGGTAGAGATTTCTGGTAAAAAGTTGGTTTTATAGAACTGGTGATGTGGGACAGAAATGGAAATTTATGAGTTATCAGCACGTGGTTGGTAATTGAAGCCATGCGAGGGTCTGGATAGACCACTTATTGTGCCCAGGCAGCATCAGAAACAGACTAAGGGCAAAACCTAAGAGGAGGCTGAGCAAGAAAAGGTTAGAAAACATGGAGACCGAGGTGTCGCAGAGCCAATAGAAGGGATGGTTTCAAGAATAAAAATCCGGGCCAGGCGCATTGGCTCACGCCTGTAATCTCAGCATTTTGAGGGTACAGGCCAAAGGATCGCTTGCCTCCCGGGACAGCCCGGGTAACATAGTGAGACCCCCCCATCCCTACTAACAATAAAAAAATTAGTTGGGGTTGGTGGCGCCAGCCTGTAGTCCTAATACTGGAGAGGCTGAGGCGGGAGGATCGTTTGAGCACAGGAAGTCGAAGACACAGGGAGCCATAACAGGGGCACTGCACTCCAGTCTGGGCGACAGAGCGAGATCCTGTCTGAAAAATAAATTTAAAAAAATCTTGTCAACAATGACAAACGCTGCAAACAGGTCAAGTAAGATGTGCATTGGAAAATATCCAGGGGTTTAGGGGATTTTCAAAACCACGAGGTGACTTTTTTCAGTGCAGTCCCTGTGGAACAGCAGGCGCAGAAGTTGGGTTGTAGGATCCTGAAAAATGAGCGGGCTGGGGTCAGGCTATGTCAATTGTTTTTGACTTGCCGATTTGTTTTTAAAATTTGCGGGTGCATTTGACATGATGGCATGATTGAGGACCCTGAAAAGATGATGATACCTGAAAGTCCAGGATGGGGAATAGACTGTAAAGCCAGTTGCTCTTTGACTGGAGCTACATACAAACTGCTTTGGAAGCCAGGATGATCCGAATCGCTATCTGTAACGCTTTTTCAAAGGGCAGGAGGGGACTTGCTGTTTATGGAGCGCTCACTGAGAACCAGCCTACGTCCTAATTTGAGTCTGGGGATAAAACTGAAAGACAGATTGACTCCTTAGCCGCTTTTCTTTCCCTGAAACCGCTGATCCTCAAAAATGAATTTAAAAAGCACTCCTTCAAGTTTAACCTCTCATGCAGTTGGTAACCCATCTGCATTCCGAACGTCACAAGGAAGAAACTGTGCCCGGCGCAGTTTGCCCGCCCTGGAGCGCAGCTGGAGCGCGGTTGAGTCCTCACTCCGCTGAAGCCAGTTACTGTCCAGTGGGATTTCGCTCAAGCCTCGGCACCCCCAGGAGGGGAGGCGCCTGCAGCGCGGGCCGCCAGCGTTTGATGGGAGGCGGGCGCGGGCTGCAGGCACCGGGAGACAACCAGAGCGAGAGACAGGGGCGCTGGGAGGCGTCTCCGGAGACCCGTGTCCGCTCCCGTAGCCAGAGCGGTGGCCAATGTAGCCCAGGCTGGGCTTTCCCCGCCGCTCTCCGCGCGCCCGTCCCCGAGGGACGCCGCTCCTCTCTGCGCGGCCGCCCCGTGCCCGTGACCACCCGGCGGCCGCTTTCGGTTCCGCGCCTTATAAGGCCTGACAGGGGGGTCACGTGCGTCCCGGGCCGCCCGCCGGGAGGAGGGGGCGGCCGGGGGAGGGGCGGGCAGCGGGGAGGAAAAGGGGAGGGCGCCGGGGGCGGAGGAAGGAGCTAGGGGCGGATTCTGCGCCCGTGGGAGGCGGCGGCGGCGGCGGCGGCGGCGGCGGCGGTGGGGAGCGGACCGCTTGGAGCCGCGCAGGGGAGCGGGACCGAGGAGGAGAAAGAGGAGGCGGCAGAGAAGGAAGGGACCGGCGCGGGGGCGGGAGAGCGAGGCGGAAGCCGGAGTCGGCTGGAGGGCCGGTGGCTGGCCCCAGGCGGGAGCCGGGGCGGCGGCCGAGAGGGACAGCGGCGAGGGAAGCGCATCCAGCAGCCCCGGCGCAGCTGCGGCGGCGGGGGCCCGGGTCCGCGCGCCCAGGCGGCCGGCGGGCGCGGGCCGGCACGATGGAGCCGCAACACGTGCGCCCAGCGTCCGGCGCCCGCAGCCCGGCGTGGGAGGAACCGGTGGGTACCGCGTCCGCGCCCACCCCCTCCCGTTTCTTCTCTGCTCCCCCCGCCCGGGCCGGGTTCCGTTCAGGAAATGGCCCGGGATGAGGTCCCCAGCTGCTTCCCAGCCGGGGCAGCGCTTCCTCCGCCGCCCGGGCTCCTCCTCGCGCGCCGCCTGGAGCGCCTTTGTCCGGCTGATCGAGGCTCTCCCGGAGAGGCCGCTGGCGAACCGCTGGCTACGGCCCCGCGGGGTCCGTTTCTCGGCTTCATCGACTTCTCAACTTTTCACTTGCTTTGAGAGCGTGGAGTGTAGGCGGGGGAGAGGAGAAGCCAGGCTGCGCGGTCGGCGTGGGGGGCTGGAGGAGCCCGGTTTTCCCTGCCAAGACCGCACCCTGGCCGTCACCTGGGCGCGCAGGTTCCCGGGGACCCGCGCCTGGAGAGGCTGAGCACTGAGCTGAGCCCAGAACCACGCCTCCGGCTCTTGCCTGCCGCGAAAGCTCGGACGTCTGGAGGGTGCATGGGGTTTTGCCGGGGAGGGAGCGGAAAGCTGACTTCGCTTTCGCCTGGGATTTCGCTGCACGCACAACGCGGAGGTTGAGTAATTTTAAGAGCCAAGAGTGTGCGTGTCTTATGTATGCGAGGATAAGGAGGAGGAGACCGGGGGGCTTTGGATTTGTTTCCTCAAACGACCTCAACTTCCTTCTTTCTTCCGATTCAAACAGAACCGTCTCACGTCCCTCCAGGGATTCCATCCAGGAATCCCCGGTCTCACTCAGAGCTCTGGAAGGCTGTGTGGGCTGCCTTTTCCCTGGCATCGAATTTTGGCTCTCCACGCCCCGCTTTGATATTTGCTACTCCTTCTTGGTTGACAATCTGAGCCAGTCTGAAAAGCCCCGTCCGAAATTTCTGGCCTCACCCGTGTTCCGGTCAACGTGTTCATCGGATGCTGTTTTCCCAGCGACTCCGCGAGTCTGCTAAGGCCGGCCCTCTGCCTGTTGAGAGCCGCTAGGTCAGGTGCCAGCAGTGGCTGTCCTTTTTCTTTTCTAGTATACGCTGTCAGCTCCTTTGCCCAGAGTCTGTTTCTCGGCCAGTCTGATTCCTGACCTTTCAGAAGCGTCCTTCGACTCTGATCCCTCTGCATGTGCAGCTGTCTTTGCTTTGGTGAATTTGAACATGTCAGGTTGCCCATCTGCTCATGTTTCTTCCATTGTGGTTATCACGGGCGCTTAAGCTAGTCTCCAAATTAAAAATACAGTCCAGTTTTGAAGTTTAAATCAAAGATCATTGAGAACTAAATTCAGTGACTTTACTTTTAAACTTTCCTGTAGGTACCTGATACTTTAAGCCAACATCAATCGCAATGGAAATATCCGGTTGTATGTATTTTCCTTTAGGCTGCTGATGTCAGAAGCACTTGGCATTTAGAAAATTAGAGAAAAACTTTTTTTTTCGTTCTGGAAAGTGACAGCTAAAATGCTTATTTATTTTCCACAGAAAGTATTAATTTGCTCTGTACCTGTTTTCATTCACCACCTATTATATTCCAGGACTGTTGGATAGCAGTTACTAACAACAGAGAAACAGATCCTTGTCCTCAGAAACCTAACGTTCTTAACTAAACAGAATGTCTTTTTTCATATGTGTTAATAGTTTACATTCAGAAAGTCCAAAAATGCATTCAGAGATCTAGGGTATGTGGGATGAAATAATACTTCTTACAAGCGACTTTATTCGAACCCCTGTGGTCAGAAGATAGGACCAAGTCTAAGAACTAATGAAGAGAATTCTCATTTAAATTCTTAAAAAAGACAGTTTATCCAAATTACTAAAAAGTGGCATATAAAGATAAGTGTGGGATACATTAGAGAAAAAAGAGTGTTTAAATGTTAACTCTTTCAGGCATTTGGAGCAAGGGGCGGTGTAGAGACAGCTTAATCTAAATATCTTTTGAAAGGACACAAAATCCATCAAAATTGGGGATTTGTGACCTTTTTGGGGGTCAGCAATCCGTTTAAGAATCTGATCAAAGCTATGAACCCTCTTTCCCTCAAACAGGCACTTATGTGACATCATATGTGTCACGTACATACATATTATATGTATTTATGTGTGTGTATTTATGTAAAACATTTTAATACCACTTCAAGAGTATCACAGATCTCTTTAAGACCAGTCGGTGGATCCTCAAAGACCTCAGGTTAGGAATACCTGCTTTTACTTGGATTCCATTTCAAAGTTTTTCTATTTAAAAACTTTTGTGTTTGTTTTTTTGAGACAGGGGCTGGCTCTGTTGTCCAGGCTGGAATACAGTACTGTGATCAGCTCACTGTAGCCAGGAACTCCTGGACTCAAAGGATCCGTCCGCCTCAGCCTCCTGAGTAGCTAGGACTATAAGCACATTCCACCATGCTTGGCTCATTTTGGGTTTTTTTTTATAGAGATGGCATCTGGCGACATTGCCCAGGCTGGTCTTCCTTGTGGCCTTAAGGGATCCTTCTGCCATGGCATCTCAAAGAGCTAGGATTACAGGTCAGAGTTATGTAAAATTTGCTTTTTAAATTCAAATATAGGCAACTTAATGCTTTATTATAAACGTATGCTCATTTACATTTATAAAAAGGAATGTTCAATACTGAGTCATATTGAATACATTTAATATTCATTCTGTGTCAACATATCCTGTTGCATTATCCCTTACTGGATAATATAAGGACATATATGAATAACAACAGCATACATGAAACCGTTTACTTTCCTCACTGTTTGGGTCAGAGCCTCACCATGTCACCCAGGCTGGTGCAGGGGCCTGATTCTCAGATCGCTGCAACCTCTACCTCCCGGCTCAAGCGATTCTCCTGCCTCAGTCTCCTGAGTAGCTGGGACTATAGGTGTGTGCCACCATGCCAGGCTAATTTTGAATTTCCTTGTACAGATGGGCTTGGTGGTGCACACCTATAGTCCCAGGTTCCTGTAGGCACCTATAGTGCCTGGTACCTATAGTCCCAGCTATGTTGACCAGGCTGGCCTCATACTCCTGGGCTCAAGCAGTCTGCCCACCTCAGCTTCCTAAAGTGCTAGGATTACTGGTGTGAGCCACTGCTCCTGGCCCTTCCTTATTTTTGATGGAACCTAAAACATGATGGTGTGATTCTGCATGGAACTATTCAGGCAGAAGAGTAAACACAACATCGTAATTGATGCTGACAAACAGTAAAGGGAACAAACAGCACTTCTGTCTTAAAACACAGCCACATTGAGCTGTTGCTGAAGTTTACTATACAACTGGGAGATGAACTGAAGTTATTTAGTTAAGCGAACCATTTAGATAAACGATCAATCTTACTATTCTGGCTAAATTATTGGGCCTAAAGAAGATAATTGTTAGCATTCTAAGTTTCTGTGTAGATTCTTTAATGCTAGCTTTGAAATGCAATCACATTTCAGTGGAAATAGAGGCATAACCTAAATTTCTAACCAATTAAAAAATACTTAAGTGGTAGGCATGAGTGGGTAGAAGGATATTTAGCCAAACAATCCTTACTGGGGGAAAATAGGTAGGTAGAATTCTAGCCAATACTTCAAAAATGTGGAAGTATTTACACAAAGTAGTCCTTAGTTGGGGGATGCTAGAGTACACTTATTAAATTTGCTTTTGGCGCAGAGGCCCACGCCTATAATCCCAACACTTTGGAAGGCCAAAGTGGGAGGATCTTTTGAGGTCAGGAGTTTGAGACCAGCCTACGGAAGACAACCAGACCCTGCATCTACAAAACAACAACAACAAAAATCTAGCCAGGCCTAGTGATGCATATCTATAGTCCCAGCTATCCTGGGACTACCCTGGGAGGCTGATGCCAGAGGAGCCTTTGAGTTCAAAGATGCAGTGAGCTGTGATTGGCCATTGCATTCCAGCCTGGTCAAGAGAGCAAGACCTTGTCTCTACAAACAGGAAAAAATTTTTTGCTTTATTTTGAAATGGTTTTATACTAGTTAGCGCTGATAAAAGTATCCGGGTCTAAAGGAAAATTAGGAAGGAAAGAGTTTCAAAGGAAAAGGGGTCAAAATATAAATGATGTTTATAAATCTTTGCATTAGATCTAGATGATGAAAGGTTTTTGTCTCAGGTACAAGGATGACCATATGTATATGCAGTTAATATCATGATTAATCCCCAAAGCTTTCTCATTAGGTAACAACTAAGGAAATGTTAATAGGTTAAAGTTTTGAATGTTAAATTCTTAATATGTAGCAAATTAGTATATTATGAAAAGAGTTCTTAAGTTTAATGAAAGCAGCTTCCCACTGCCTGTACTTGTTCAACCTGCAGTATTCTTTAATTGCATGGTTCCTAATTGATTAGGAATGCAAGTCCTAGAACACAGTTATATTTTAAGTGCCGACTTGAGCTCTTCAGGATATAAAATGTAACATTCTGCATATTTATGATGTAATATTTAATATGAAACCATAGAACATATGAGATTTAAAAGTTGCCAATGGGTATTAAAACCCCTTTTGTTATGAGTAGTGATTAGTAAAAATATATTTCAAAATACCTCTGTATTAAATAATACGCTAATATTCATAAAGTTGGTATCACTATGAAATTTGGCTGTGACTTACACATCTTCAGTTCTTTTTTTTTAATGGGCCAGTATCTGTATTAAGTAAAAACCTAATTTAGGGGTAGCTACCTCCTATTTTCATATCATCCTAAATGCAGTGTCTACAGAGCTTATGTTCAAGTCTTTAATAGTGTGTTTGTGATGTGTTCTGAACAGAGATTTCAAAGTAAATATAAAAGAAATATGTAAGATGCATCTAAGCAATTATTAGAAAATCTGAAATCACTAAGGAAGAGGCCAAGGAATTCTTATAAATCAAATAAATAATGTAAGATACCACCTATTTGAAATCTGTTTCAGTTGCCATTTTGAGCTACATGGTTGAAACAGTTGGAAAGATTGAGACCTTGACGTTGTTGTAATACTTTTAAGGAAGGTGAAGTACATTGCAGATACACAGTGCACATATTAGATATTCATTCTAAAAACTTCTAATTTACAGACCTGAGAAGAAGCCAGTAAGTCAGGTACCATAAATAATGGATTCTTTGAAACTGGCTCTTCAGAAGAGGTGATTGCAGGAGTGTGAAGCTGGCTCTGAGGTTAAATCTTTATGAGTAAGGAATACCTTTACTTTGAGGTATTAATGGCTCAGCTCTGGGATATGAAACTATTGAAGTATTTTTAAGCAATCAGCATTCGAATCAAAGAGTGAGATATAATCTGACCTCTTAAAATCACAAAATCAGCCTGGGCATTAGATAATGCCTTTCAGTTTAATCACCCGCTGCTTAGATTCTGGAAAATGTTGCTGTATAAAACACAAAGTATGAATAGAAGTATATGGTAACTGACAAACTTCCTTTTGTTATATAGTGTGGTAACATGATTAGAACATTAGAATAGTAACGGCACGATTGTGACTTTGGTCCCAGTTTGTGATTTGGGGCCTCAGTTTCTTTACATTTTTAAAAGAGTGGACTAAACAAAGGTTATTCTTTCAAAAGACCCTTTACTACGTGTCCTTGTCTACGTTGCCAAAATATTGGACTTGTCCATGACCATACAGGTGGGGATGAAGGCCATTATTTGGATTATTTTTCTCAAGAATTTCCAGCAATATGTTCTTTGTAGATAAAGAATTACATATTTGTAGAGCTCTAAGCGCTCTTAAAGCTTTTGCCCAACTCCTTCCTTTCCTAAAGGAAACAGAAGCTACAGAAGTAGCCTCTCTGTTATTACCTAGCAGCAACCTCCTGTCTTTAAAGATTTAAACTAAACACATTTTACATTTTAATGAATTTAATTTACAATGTGATGTCCAGTATTGGGATTGCATACTATGTCTTAAAACTTCTGAGAACTGTTAGCTCTGATAAATCAAATTTCTTGTTGGGATTAAGACTGCAAGTTAAAAAAAAAAAAGAACCTTAGTTTGGAGGAACCTTAAAGGTCATGTCAACTGAAAAAATAGGAAATGAATGGGTAGTGAACGACATGAACATGCTAACAGAGATTGCTTTCCCCAGGTGGAGAGACTCCACAGTCTGGCAGGGACTTTTTGCCCTATTAAAAAATATAGCTAACACCCGTTTGGTGTTCTCTTTGGATGACAAGAGGGATCTGTCCTTTTAGTGTCTTCTCCCCCAACCCCCTCACACCTGTGAGGGTTCTTTGACGTTGAGCGTGCACAACCTGCTGCCAGTCCGCGGTTCCCAAGTGCCCGCTCCGCCAGCTCTCAGGGGAGTTGTGCGCGGTGGCTACAGCCTGTTGATCCCATTTCCTCCTGCTCTAGTGCGGGCTAGGGAGTGGCTCTGCCAGGACTTCCAAGGCTTTTTGTCTTGGTTATTGGTGTTCTCAGGGCCGGAGTGTATTGTTTTCTTCCAGGCAGTCTGGGTTAGCGCCTCAGCTTAGACAGTTCTTGTGAATTCTGTCGTCTTGGGCTGCGTGTAGTCCCTTGTTTCTGTGCTTGCTTCACGCCCTGCCCAGTTTCCTGTAGCCGATGGGGATGGCTCTTTCTGGACGAAAAGTGCTCAGAGTGGAGCTGAACCTCCCGGAAAATGCTCTTCTCTTCCGTGTGCGCCGGATGGGGGTGGGGGTGGGCCACAAACTCAATGCCGCTGTCGGGAGAGCTAAGAGGACCTGACTCCCGGGCGGAGGCGGGAGAGGTACAGTTTCGGGAGTGGGGCTGGGGGTCAGGAGACCGACGAGGGGCAGCACCCGACTGTCTCGAGGGCAGAGGAGACTTATGCAGCTGGAACCGCGCGGCGAGGCCCAAGTGTCTCTGGAGAGATTCGAGGTCCAGAAGGTGGCGGGTGTACCCAAGGGTGCCGGGAGGAAGCTCCAGGTTTCCATTCATCCCCAGGGACCAGTGTTGTCCCTGCTGCCCCGAAGTGAGGGGGTGCTGGCATCGCCACTGCGGGGTGGGCTGCAGAGGTTTCTTGCCTCCTCCCCCTTCTGCCTTCCAGACCGCAAGGACTGTCCATCCTGGGGACCCCAGACCATAGAGGGAGTGGAAGGGAGGTTGCCCCAAACCCTGTCACCCCATCCTGTCTACCCGCGCTGGTCCTATCCGATGCTGGGTGCGCAGGGGTCCCAGGCGGGCGGGGATCCGCGACCCCTGTGCCCCACCGCGGCCGCCGCTCCTGCGGGAATCGGGCGGAGGAGCCGGACGGACCCCTGCCTGGAGGGCGCCTAGCCCGGGCAACCCTTCCCCTGCGAGGGCGGCTGGGGGAACGGAAGATGGCGGCGGCGGCCAGGCACGGGGTTCCGTGCTCCGCTGGGGCAGAGCCCACCCGCTGACCGCCGCCCCCGCCCTCGCCGGGCGGTGCTGTGTCCCCACAGGAGTCGGAGAGGATGGCTGGGGCCGGAGGCCAGCACCACCCTCCGGGCGCTGCTGGAGGAGCAGCCGCCGGGGCCGGCGCCGCGGTCACCGCCGCTGCTGCCTCGGCGGGGCCGGGAGAGGATTCTTCTGACAGCGAAGCGGAGCAAGAGGGACCCCAGAAACTGATCCGCAAGGTGTCCACCTCGGGGCAGATCCGGACCAAGGTAGGGTGGAGACGGCGAGCCGCGGGGGCGCGGGGGGCGCAGGAGCGCGCCTGGTGATCCCGGGAAGGCGGGGATGGTGGGTGGGGCGGGGCCTGGAGTGCGGGCGGGGCGGGGTGGGGCGGGGAGGGGCGGGGCCGGGCCGGCGGGGCCCGGGGCGCCGGATCGTGGCACTGCCGGAAGGATTCCTGGCCGGCGCGCGGGAGGCTGCGAGCTTGGGCTCCCAGGGAGTTCGAATGGCTGAGGCGGGTGGAGGGAACCCGCGGCTCGGCGGGAGCGTGGGAAAAAGCTGACGTGCCTTCGCGATTTCCCACTTAGGGAAGTTGAAAGGAGAGTTTCAGTTTTTCCTCTTTGCCGTTCTGGGGAGCGTGCGTGTGTGCAGGGCCAACCAGCCCACTCTGCAGTGAGCCCCTCTGTTTTCTCCCTTAGGCCCACTCAGAGGGTAGGTGGGAGGTGACTCCGGTCAGCCTTTCCTGCCTCTGTGCCCTCTGCTGCGGTCTGGAAGGCAGAAGCCCCGAGGCAGGCCAGTGGTACACGGTGCTCGTGACTTACCTGCACCCTGTGTGGCTTCAAGGGCTGGCCTGGCTTTTGTATCGCAGGTTCCCACAAAGTGCGAGGTCCAGAACCATGCATCCATGGTTCCTTTTAATAATGAAAAGTTAACTCTGTGCTGTGTAGACATTACCTTGTTGTGTTACTCTTGTTAATGGAGCTTGTGCCGTCGACCTGTGAGGTCTCAAAGTAAAGTTTTAATTTGATCAAGAACATACACAAAGCAAATGCTTATTGATATTAAAGGATTGTTTATATATTCTCATTTTCATCGTAGTTTAAAAATCTTCACAGGGCGAGTCTGTTGTTAGTGGGGGACTTTAACGAAGAATTTGAAGAGGGAACCAATAACATCATTGGATTTGGGTACCATCTTTAAAAATAAATTTGCAAAAAAATCATTCTACACCTATTTTTATGAAAAATTTTCCCCCAAGGTCAGTGAACTCCAATTTGAAAACATAATTTTTATTAAATGCTTGTGGAGGCCGGTCATGGTGGCTCACGCCTGTAATCCCAGCACTTTGGGAGGCCGAGGCAGGCGGATCACTTGAGGCTAGGAGTTCCAGAACAGCCTGGCCAACGTGGTGGAACTCCATCTCTATTAAAAATACAAAAATTAGCTGGGCTTTGGGGCACACACCTGTGATCCCAGCTACTCGGGAGGCTGAGGCAGGAGAATCGATTGAATCTGGGAGGCGGAGGTTGCGGCAAGCAGAGATTGCGCCACTGCACTCCAGTCTGGGCAACAGTTTAGACTGTCAACCACACAAAAAAAGCTAGTGGATTGTTTGTATTAGTCTGCTTCATTATTTTCTGAAATACATGTGTATAAGAACAACACACAAACACAACTGTTGACAAGATGCACTTACTAGAGAGTTAGGGATTCAGTCATTTTAGTTAAGCACACATCTTGTAACTCCTTTTAATGGTGACGTTTTTGAGTTTGTAGTAAATTAAGAATATAGCATTTAATGTGTTTTTAGCAGATTAAGGCTAAACAGGGACTTTCCTAAAGCTGTTTTTTAACATTTCAAATCTTAATTCTGAAAAAAGTTCATAAAACTGTTAATGATGGACAAAATGCACTGACATTCAACACACTTGAAATTCTAGCAACATTTAATTTCATAATAAAAAATTATCTCTCATCATGGCAAAATATATGTGCTAAATGTTTTTATTAGAAAGTCCGACAGAAAATCACAAAGAAATTGTATAGGGGCCGGTGTAAAAAGATAAAAAATTGTATAGGGGCTGGGCATGGTGGCTCACGCCTGTAACCTCAGCACTTTGAGAGAACAGGGTGCTTGAGGATCAGTTAAGCCCAGGAGTTCAAGGCTGCAGTTAACTGAGATTGGGCCATTGCACTCCAACCTGAGCAATGAAGCGAGTCCCTGTCTCTTAAAAACAAAAACAAACAAACAAATGTGTATGTTACATATTTATATGAAATGGTCAAAATTCCATGCATATTTATCAATATTAACCAGTAGATATATACTGTTTGAAAGAAAACTTAGAGGTGGCTGTAAACTGAAGTGAATCAAGTCAAACAAATTTGTTGGGAGTACCACTATATTTTACAGGTTTCATGCACTCATTGTAATAGCTAAGATTATATGTTTATGGAGACTAAAAGTAAATTTTAAAAGCACATTATTTTTTATTTTCTGTCGGACTTTCTAATAACATTTAGCACATATATTTTACCATGATGAGAGATAATTTTTTATTATGAAATGAAATGTTGCTTGAATTTCAACAGTGTATTGAATGTCAGAAATTCTGCATTTTACACTTTCTCGTATGTTAGAGTGCATGTAAGTTCATCAACATTTTCATATATGAACACCTGAGATCAGGGTATAAGATTTCTGAGACCAGTGAACTTCAGCCTCATACCCTACCTCCTACAGTCGGGACTGTTCATGTATGTCACAGACTTCATCATTTACGTCTTTTATTCACATATACTGATTCTTAGGGAAGGATGTGAGAACAATAGGGAATTTATAGAATGAGAACTGCTAAATTTAACTGTTCGTTCCCAGTCTTAAATTATGATCCAGATGACAATTAAGGGAAGGATCTTAAAAAAAGACAAATGCTTTCTGTGTCCCTTCCACAGGTGTGTAACATGGGAGCACCTGGAGGAGAGGTAGGCCCTAAGATTAGCTCGAAGCCCAGTCATATTTAAGACAACACAAACAGTTCTTGTTCATCTATTCTGCTCTGTCAGTAGGTCAAAACTGGCCAACTATGGAATGCTTCGTATGGTTCAACCTAAAATGTCATCGTTTAATTAACCAGTTCTTTGCAGAAGTAAATATGAGTTGTTTTAGGATAATGCACTAATCTCAGCTTTTTTATAGTGGATTTGATGACTTTTTAAGTAAAGAATGGAACTAGTTTTTTAAAAAAAAAAACAAAAAACTACAATTTTTTAGTAAATGAAATCATTGTAGCTTAATAAAATCCTCATGTATATTTTAGCACCCTCATCACAACTCCATACAGTATGCTTTTTGTTCCCATTTTCATTTTCCATTTTTTCCTGGTTTCTTTGTTTGTCTATGTTGTCCTCTCTAATAGTTCCCTGGTTTTCACTTTTTTCCTTTCTCTGAATAACCTAAGTGAAATGTCAGGTGGTCTCATCTAGCCACTCAGGTGCTAAACACTAAATAATTTTATGGCTGCCTTTATTTCCCAAAGACAAAAAGTCACTTACGTACAGAAGTGAAAGTGGTGCCAATGCAGGAGAGCCAAAATGGAGTCCCAACACTTGTCATACCTCTTCCTCCCCTTTACCTTCTTGAGTTTTTGGATTTGCATTCAGATGTGCTGTTGTAGAGAATTTTACAGGTATTTACTGAGAATAAGATATTTTTGAAACATCATTAATACAGATTCAGACGAATTGGGTTTTGAACATGAATGTGAAAGAGGCTTTGTGTGCTCTTTGTTGGCCCATGAATGCTGCAGCCTTTCATTTTACAAGAATGGCTGGAAGAACATTGGTCAGGCTTACAGCCTAGGACTGTTCAACCGTCATAAACCAAACCTTATAAACAAATGAGAACTATCTCAATGACTTTTTCTGCCCTTGAGTCATCTCAGCTAAGGTCTTGAAGCTTCATGTGTCAAAAATACTTCCTGATGAGGTTTATTGTGTTCCCATTTATTTATTTATTTTGACAGTTATATGTCTTCTTACAGCTAATGGCCACAAATGAGTCTCTAAATTTAGGTAAACATATCTAAACAATAAAAAGATATTCAAAAATTTGCATCAATATTTTATCTAGGCTGAGCATGGTGGCTCATGCCTATAATCCTACCACTTTGGGAGGCCAAGGTAGGACAACAGGTTGAACCCAGGAATTCAAGACTCACTTGGGCAACAGTGAGACTCCATCTCTAGGAAAAAAACAAACGCAAAACAAGACAAAAAAACACACCAGTAGTCCACCTGGATTAAGATATATTTTTGGTACAGCAAACCACCATGGCACATGTATGCATATATAACAGACCTGCACATGCTGCACATGTATCCCAAAACTTAAAGTAAAATTTAAAAAAATATAAATCTTAATAAAAAAATATCTTTTTAAGCCCTAAGGATAGTGATCACATTCTTCAATTAATACCTTGATTTTGATTTAATATGAGGGATGTGTAACGTAAATAAACTCCTGTTCTTTTGTGGAAAGGCAGTATATGAAAATATTGGTTTGCATTTTTCACTGCCTTACAAAATACAATTTGTGCCATTAAAACATTATCTTTCACCAGAAACCCTAGGTAAAGTGCACTGGTGAAGACTTGGCTCTGTGTTTTCGAAATTGTAGGTAGCAGCCCATTACTGGGTCATGATGGTTTATGTCCAGCATTTAAAAGAGAAGCAGAGTAAATTAGGACATACTATTTAAAACGTTTAGCCAGAGTTCTGTGTGTGAACATGGGAATCATGGTGATCCAAATAGATGGGAAACAGAAACATGGCCAGAAGAATATGAGGAAAGGAGAGTAAAGTGATACTGACAGGTGTGTTGTTCAGAAACTCAGTATGAAATGAGAAGCAAGTAGGAATGTTTACATTTTGATAGGTGATGAGTAGAAAGTAATTAACACACATCCAGGCCAGAAGTTATCTAACTTTTCCCATAAAGGACCCAATAGTAAATAGTTTAAATTCTGTGGGCCATAAGGTCTCTGCTGAAATTATTCAACTCAGAGAATGGAGGTTACCAAGAAGGGAGGGGCTGGGGAGAACTGGAGAACTCCAGAATAATTCTGGGGAATATGTTCTTACTTGGGAGAATAGAATAAATTCTTTTGTACAGCAAGGTGACTGTAGTTAATAATCAAGCACTGTATACTTGAAAATTGCTAAGAGTAGATCTTAAATGTTCTCACCACAAAAAAACAAGTATGTGAGGTGA